CGTTGATTTGGCCTAATGTCGTTCTGCTTTTCTGAAGCCTCCCAGTCGAAGCTGTCCTGCAGCGAGTATTCTTCAGTTCCGGTGAAATTGGTACTAAGCCTGCATCTTTCATGCCACTTGACAGGCATCGTCCAGGCCGGCTACCATTCTGACAACCACTTTGGGCTGGCGAGTCATAGAATGCATACTTGTCTGTACCTATGTGTGTTTTTGGGCCTACCAAACGAACAGTACCAGCTCTAGGTGGGCATAAGGAAATTGGGCCCAACAAATGTAGACCCAAAGATGCCATGAAGAGCATTAGGAACTGTTAATACAACCAGATGTCAATGAATAAAGACAGTGAGAATTGTGTTACATAACTGTACATTTCGAATGAAAAGTTGGTTTGAAGGAATTCCTGAAAGGTTTTCACCGGAAATCGAATGAGGGTTGCCGCGGAGTAGAGATTATTGGATTGTGCGAAGAAACCATTTCACAAATTACTTATAACCAACTTTTCCTTTGAAATGGAAAGTCATGTCGTAATATATATCCATAAGGAACTCTTCGAAACCCAGTTTTTTTGTAAGACAATGAGAAGCCTAGTACAGTCGCTCTCATTTTATAGGCCATATTTTCTAGTCTTATCATCTTAACAATGAACTTCATCAAGTTAAACGAAATAGGGTGAGCACATCTCATTCGTCTGATGTATAAGTTGTCTTTAAAACCTATTTATAAAATGTGATTTGAGAACATTTCTGGCCTTCTTTGAAATTTAAATCTTCTCTCTGACCTAAGGTCAATAGCGGCAATGTGTCGTAGTGGTTAATGTATAGAAATCATATACTATAGTGCTATGGTTCGAGTCCTGCCGGATGTACTCAAAAGACCCAGACAAGGTCAAAAGCTTAGTCCACCTTATGGGAGGCAAGGCTATGCGAAATTCAATGAAAATATAAGGCCCACTCCTATGATTATGGGAAAATTCAACTACCAATCCTTAATCACCTTAAAGAAAATAGGGTGAGCACACCTCATAAATTCGATTTGCTGGTAGTCTTGAAACCCTACTTATAAAGACATGGCAGCATGGTGGCATGGTAATCTTGACGTTTACAGATGGTGCCTCAGGACGACTTGCAGAAAGAGCCTAATGCCGCCATTCAATGCCATCATCGTGAACATCCGATAAGTGGACAGAGGCTTCGGTAAAGCTTGGGACGTCTGCATCTTGTTGAGGCGATTGAATCAGCAATCAGCTTATTCTGGAATGCGTTGATGTTAAGCTCGCTGGCCGATTTGCGAGGGAATAGAGGGAAAAATGATACCAGAATTAAGTAAATAAATGTCACTTCCGTACTGAATGAGGAGACGATCAAGTGGTCCTACATAGAAGCTGTGTAGTATACTAAGAGAGAAATAATTTGTGATTTAATAATATGAGATGTATTCACCCAATTTCATTTAAGGCGATGGAGAACTGGTAGTAGAATTTTCCCACAATGATGTGAGAAGAGGTGATGTCTCCACTGAATTTCACATAGCCTTGCTCTCCTGGAAGGAATTCTCATTCAGGATGGACTACAGTTTCGACCTCGCATCGGTCCATATCAACACCCTCAGCGGGAGTCGAACCGTGACAGTGCAAAATGTGAGCTTGACACGTCAACCACTCGACCACATTGCCACGAGTGCCCTTGGGTCACAGAGCAGATGTGAATTTCGAGGAAGACCAGGCTTTTTGCCATATCATATGCTTTGGTGGGATTGTTGATGAAGCAAATGTATATTTGCTTCATCAACAACCGACTACGTTACTTATTTTTCTTATTTGAGTAGAGTTTCGAGACGAAATTTGGGTGAATACATCTCATATTACTGATTTACTGGTAGTCTCGAGACTCTACTCAAATACGAAAAATAAGGCTTAATAGTCAAGCCAGAGCTGTGCTAAAGCAAGCAGCTGGCAAAAATGTCTTTCTTACTTAAATCTTGTACCGTCTGCCCCAAAGGGTACCCATTTTTATTAGCTTCCACGATAGAGCTTCGTCATTGCCACTTAGTTGAGATCACATGTCATGAGCAAAAAGACTTGTCGGACTGTTAGACTCCGAAGCCGAGCAGCTTTACCAGGTTTAAGCTACAGATGAAGGCTGAGTTCGAGGCCAAAGACGCTCCTTCGGGATACGTCACAGCCGAGCCGAGAAGGAAAGAAAACTGATCTTAATCAGCTGCACTTCTTCTTTCTTTCTATTCCACATAACTCAAAAAATACGTGAACCTCTTAAGTAATTCTTTGATTCCAAGTCTTTTAGCATCATAATGTATTAGCAAATGGAAAAATAAATATTTAACAACTAATTAATAATATAGCTACGAAGAGTAGCTAGTTTTAGATGACCTAGTGTCAACCAGAGACTATTACAAATATAAGTTCCAGCTCTGATGATGCCCATCATATGATGTAATAAAATCTAGACTGTTTTATCTTTCTTCTCCTGGTGGGATAGAACTATGAATCTCTTCATAATTCACTTTCATACCTAAGGAAAATCTCCTCAGTAATTTATATTAATAAAATATAATAATTAATAATATAAATACATAAATAAAAATTATATTATATTTATATATACTTACTATCAATCAGTTATTAAAATAGTATGAGTTACTCATTATTTATTGCTAATTAATTAATTACTAATTAGTAATAAATATCGAATAATCGAATATATATATTAATCAATTATTATTTATTTATTTCTTAACAATTCATCAATCCTGGCATTTATATCTTACTTTCGACTAAGTCTTCCAGTAATATGACTTATAGAAGAGCCAGGTTGCAAGTTAATTGATGCTTCAGAACCAAGAAAGTTTTCCATAGAGGCATTGCCTACGAGCAGATTACAGTCACAAATCTTGCCGCAAGTTTCTCTTCCCACAATTATGCCATTTCGATTAGATGGCATCACGAACTTTGGCATTCAATCCTCAGTTATAAGGGCAATACGTCTGCTCCTAGCTTTATGTGTTCATGAGATATATTCACTCTATTTCTTTAAGAGCAAGAAGGATTGGAATTTGGATTTTCACACAATGATATGAGTGGACCCCATAGTTTCATTGAATTCCACATAGCCCACCTTGCCCATAAGGTATTCTCATCTAAGCAGGAGCGGACTTTAATTTTGATCGCGCTTGGGTCTTATCAGTGCACCCAGCAGGACTCGAACCATGAACATGTAATGTATAATCTCGACACTTTAACCACTACTTTATATTACCACGAGTGCTCTTGGGCCATAGAGTAGATGTGAAATTTAAGGAAGGCCAGACATCTTTCTATATCATATTCCGTTGTGGGATTCTCGATGAAACAAAGTTATATTTGCTATAGCAATAGACTACAATGCTTATTCCTTGTTGCTAAATAGGTTTTCAAGAGTAGCAGTACATCATAAATATGATATGGACGCGACTTATTTCGTTAAGGTGTACAATGAGGATCTCTGGTCACGTATGAGGAGTAGACGGAGGAGGAGAAACAGATTTTGACGATTTTGTTCCAGCAAAGTATTTGTATTTGCTTTGGCCTAAAATTAATCTT